AGAGAGAGAGAGAGAGAGAGAGAGAGAGAGAGAGAGAGAGAGAGAGAGGATGAATACAGAAAGTTCCAAACGCCCTTCAGCCCATGTCCCCCTAAGTCCATATCTTACATAATCAAGGTACATTTGTCATAACTATACATTAGTCCCTTGGAATTAACTAAACCCTAGACTTGAGGCAGATTCACTAGTGTTTCAGCTAATATCTTTCTATTCCAGGTTCCTGTTCAGGACCCTATATAGCATTTGCGTCTTCATGTTATCCATATGTATCTTTTGTGATGTGTGATAGTTTCTTTTTTCCTTTTTTTTCCCTCAACTGCAACATCATTAAGAATTATGGTACTGTAGCTAAGTTCTTTGGATATCCCAGATTTGGTTCTAATATTTTTCTCACAGGGTTATGGGTTAGGGGAGAAGAATGACACAGAGATGGAGTGCTTTAATCCTGGCTTCTTCTCACAGGTACCTGGTAAAAGCATGGCCAATCCCTGGTGATATTGACCTTGATCCCTCGGGTAAAGTCGTGTTTGCCAAATTTCCATACTGCAAAGTTCCTATTTTTTCTCTTTCTGTACTCTCTTCTTCTGATGGAAGTCACTCCATTCAGCCCACACTCCAGATGAAGGAGGAATTGAACTTCACCTCCTAGAGAGGAGAGTATCCATATGCTGCTATCAGGAATTATTCCATAAGAAAGATTTTTTTCCCTTCTCTCCCATTTATCTATGCAATCATTTATTTTTATTGGAATAGACTTGCCAATATTTATCTTATACTTGGAGCTAAAATTCAATACTACATTATTTTGTTTTTCAGTGGGAACTATTTCAGGTTGAGTTCAATGTCTCTTTGAAAGTTCAAAAACTTTTAGAGTTTTTTTTTTTTTAAAAAAAAAAAGCTATTTCTTCCACCCCTCTCACATTTAACAGAGTCAGAAAATTGCAGCCTCAATCCTTTAATATTCAAGGGCTTTTCAGAATCTTTCTGAGAACCCTACAATCACTGACTCCCACCATAGTTGGAATGAAATAATATTTCATTTTCCCAACAAATTAATTTGTGGATTACAAATCAATCAAAAGTGAAAGTTGATGGTTCTTAGGTCATTTTTTTTGTTAACTAATTCTTGTGGTTCTATTAATATATGTATATTTATAGACAAATCGTGTTCCAAAGATAGCCCGATGTTTATTACCAGCTTAAACACTGAAGACATCCAGCTGCTAAGGATCATTTGTTGTGTTGCTCTGCTTTGCTCATGTTTGCATTTCCAGTCAGTTCCATAAACACCACATTTCCTCCTTCTGAGCTTGGGTCTTGCTCAGCATTAGATTCTGTCCTGCTTTCTGGGACCCCTGCACCTTTCCTGGTCATAATCTTTCTTGGAGAGGGAAATCTACCATATTGAACCTCATACATGTTCCCACCACTCCATTAATGTAATAATACTCAAGGGGTATTCACTCCTCCTAATCTTGCACTAGCTGTCGCTAATAATAAATGATTCTTATGGACTACTGGCACAGCTTTTCCTCAAGTTTCACATAATGGTCACACCGCACTTTCTTACAAATAAAAATGGGTCATAACATACCTTTCTCATGTACATATATGAAAACAACACAGTGAATCTCTTTACCGTATACATCCATAAGAATGGGACTCTAACTAGAACAAGATATGTTCCATGCTTGTATAATTATATCAAAATGGATTCTGTTTTCATGTATAATTAAAAAGAACCAATAGATAGGAAAATAATTTTTTAAATGGTTATAAAATCTGCAACTATTATGCAGTCCAATGTGGTACTTCTCCAATAGCCTAGATTGTGCCAGATAAACACAGAATACACAAAACTGTGAATAATCAGGAGAGCTAAGTGACATTTGGGTTTTCACTTTTTTTTTTACAAAGTTACTAAAATAACATATTATTAACTTATTAATAATAATTCTAAAAATAAATTAAAAGAAAACATTTTATAGAATAAATGCTTGTACCCTCCCAAAATGACTGTATTGAAGCCCTAGTTAGCAATGCAATGGTATTTGAAAACAAGGTCTTTTGGAGCGAATTAGGTCATGGGGTCCATCATAAATGGGTTTAGTGCCCTTTAAACAAGAAATAGGAGAAAGGCAACTCTCTGTAATGAAAGGAAATGGCAAGTAAGCAGCATTTGCAAACCAAGAAGACGGCCTTAACCAAATATCACATCTCTGGGAACCTTGACCTTGAACTTCCCAGTCTCCAGACTATGAGAAATAAATGTTTGCAATGTAAACCAGTTTAATACCAGTCTATGGTATTTTGTTATAGCAGCCAAACTAAGACAATATCCCAGAAGAAGTTGACAAGATCAGAGATAAAGGTGGATTTTGAGCACTTTTCTGGGCATACAATCAGCTGGGCAAATTGAAGAGATACCAAGAAACCCAGTCCAGGGGGACCACGAGAGACTAAGGGAAGATCAAGCCGAGAAGTGGAAGCAAACCTCGATAACATACAAGAGGTCCAGGAAATGTCTTTTTCTTGTCCATCTCTGTTAAGAAAGGAAAGGGAAAAAAAATCATTGTAGGAACTGAAACTCTAAATGTCATTATGAGTTTATTAATAAAACACTCAACAAGTGTTTAGGAACAATACCTGAGTGTCTACTTGTATAAACAACTCTGTCTACACAAGTACATCTTTTTCTAAGAATCCTTTCACATAATAGATACAGAAACCATGACATAACCAGGGTTGATATTCAAAGCATGTTCCTACTGGTTGAGCAGTGGTAGCAACCAATCAGAAAAACTGCCATCCACAATAAACTATTGATGTGGATAAGTTCATGCCAACCAGCTAAAAGTCAGCCCTGGACATCCTTATTTAAACCTATTACTGCTCTCTTAGCAAAACCAGCTATCCTTTCAGAAATACACTTTCGAAGGGTATTTGGACATATTCCTTTGGACTTAATTCTGATTTCTGCAGCTTTCTTTATTGATGAGCCTGGTTTTCTCCACTTTTGCAGTAGCTGGAGCAATAAATGTCACTCTTACCTGCACTGTGAGTCCTTCTTCCCAAAGGGAAGGAGCATGGGGAAGGGTGAAATAAGGCATGCGGTTGAGATGTGAAAAACTTTATCCAGGCTGGGGTTGAGACTCAATGGCAGAGCGCTTGCCTCGAGTGTGTGAGGCGCTGGGTTCAATTCTCAGCACCACATAAAATGAATAAACAACAAAGATATTGTGTCCAAATACAATTTAAACAAATTAAAAAAAAAACTTTATCCAGGTATTTCTAAGGTTGAAGGAGGGATGTGAAACTCAGAAAAAGGCTGTAGGAAGGTGTCATTCGAAAAAGTTTATTGGTTATAGATGAAGCCTGCATTTTGACACGATTTGTGCTACCATTGATTCACAGTCTTGCCCTTTGTTCTCACCTACCTTCAGTTGGTATGGACAATTTTCATAGTAACTACAGAAGCTTAGGCTTTCTTTCTTTCCTCTGCTGGAATAATATAGAATCTGTCCGATTCCCAAACTGAAGGAACTAAATTTCATCTGCCTTTTGAAACTGTTAGTTAAAACTCTACTTTTGTGACTTCCTTTTGTTTCTTTGTTAAGGTATTCTCTAACAGGCTATGAGAATTTGGCTTCCTATTTTTATTATTATCATTTTTTGGCAACTGCAGTATTTTAGGTACTAATTATAATTTAATTATAATTTGACACCTAGTTCCCCGTTTCCAAGTTTTTTTTTTTTTAAGTGTTGGCCTTGGGCTGACTCAAGTAAGACAGAGGTTAACATTAAGGACTACATGGCAATAAGGGAGATAGAGAACTCATTAAGATCCAGATGCAAGAACCCTGCAATGGCTGAGACTCCTGGGGACCAGCCATTGGGATAGGGGGAATTTAGGATTTGGGCAAGAGTGCGGGGATCCCCGTGCTGGGGGACCAGGCAGCATTAACGTGGATCAGTTTCTTACTTTTCCATCTCTGCTTCCTGATGATGACTTCTCACATCTTGCTACTATCACATAATGTCTTACCCCTTGCTCTGTAAATCTCCAGTGGCTGCAAGGTATGGTGCAAAGCAATGTTTGGGTTAGCTGGTTAACCTAAGGTAAGCGACATAACCTCTCTGGCTTCAGTTTCTGTAAAATAGGCTCCCATTTTCATGGCTGCTTGTAACTACTACTGGATTGTTTTTTTGTTCTTCTCAATTCTGATCCTGAGAGTAAGACTCTTGTGAAACCTGCTTTTGTCTCTTTAAAAGTCACTGGCCACGCTGTAGATTGGCTGTCACTGGGATGAATATAGTCTTTCTCTCTCTGTCTTCTAGGGCTTAGTAAACACTCATTGCTCACCCCCGATCAGAGGCAGTGGTCCTCTCTCAACAGAGGCTACAGTATAACAGGCCCTCAGAATGGAACTCCAGCTTGAGTGTACCATGGCTAATGCTCCCAAATATGAAGAAGGTAACTGAGGATTGAGGTCTAAGACT